GCTGCTGGATTGATTTCTCATGGTCCTTTACTATTTTAAAGAAATTTTCTTTTCCTGGTCACTAATTGCAATCTTATTTTCTATATCTGAAGTTCTTTCCTCACATTGGTTCATTCTGCTGCATCAACTTTCAGTGGAGTTTTTAATCTCCTGGAAATCTGTTTGCATCTGTTTTATGGATTCCATTTGTTTCCTTATGTTGGGATTCCATCATGTTCCTCAGCTCCTCTATTTTTTTTATCTGTGTTCTTTCTAGATTTATTAATCATATCTTGCACTATGGGCACAATCTCTGCTGTTATCTGAGAAATTACTTCCAATTTTATTTTTTCCAGATCCTCTTTTGTTGCCAGTTCAGGGAGTCCAGGTGGTTGAGTATCAGAGTGTTCCATCTTGTTTCCCTTTGGGGTTGCTTTAGGTGATCTGGAAGTCTGGTTTTGAGACTTGTTTACCTGTGATCTTATTTTGACGGGGGTGGGGTGTGTGCTGCTGGCGCCATCGCAGCTCACCTCCTTGGCGCTAGGCGCAGTGGTATGGCGCCCCGGAAGGCTCCTCGTCAGCACTGGGGGAAGCTCTTACCTTTTTATTCTTTTATTTTGAGGCAGGGTCTAAGTTGCTATGTTGCCCAGGTCGGGCTTGAACTTGTGATCTTCCTGCCTCAGCCTCCCAGAGTGCTGGAATTACAGGTGCAAGTCACCATATCTGGCACCCCCCCCCCCAAAACCCTAGTAACACCTTTCTCATGCTCACCCACCTCAGTACCTTTTTTGTTCCTACCTGAAGCCACAGGGCTGTTCAGATTTCAAATTCCATTTGTGCATGGTTGCTCTGTAGGAAAATACTTGACTTTTTATTTTAACATTTCATTCTGCAACCTTGTTCTAATCTCTTATTAGTTCCAGGAGGTTTTTTTGGTGAGGTCAATTCTTTTAGATTTTCTCCGAGGTAATTATGTCACCTGAGAACAAAGCCAGTTTTATCTCTGTTCCTTCTCCCTTGTCTTTCATGACCTCTTCAAGTCCCCCTGCACCCCCAGGACTGGGGTAGGGCATGGCAGAGGCATGGGCAGGGCTTTCCCCTACCCTTGTCCTCCCTGGGAGGCCCGAGCTTCTCTGCTAGCTGTGATGTTCATGGCAGGTGTTTCTTGCAGCTGTTCTCTGCCAAAGGGAGGAGGTTTCCTCCTTCCTCACTGATAGATGTTTTCCCCACAAATGGGTGTTCCATTCCATGAGATTCTTTTCCTGCACGCACTCTTGTGGTCATGCAGTGTTTCTCTTCTCGCCTATGGTTGAGAGGGGTGGCAGGGATGGGTAACAGAGAGTGTGTTTAGAACTGAAGTCACACAGTAGCCCTGGGGAAGCCTGTCCAGCTCCCTGCTGTCTTGGTGCTGAGCAGAGTCCTCCCCAGGACCAACCCATCCCTGCACTCCTATCCATCAGCCTCTGTCTGCTGCTGCCTTTGCATGTAGACCCCTGCCCAGGATGTGCTGCCCCACTACTCCCCGGGGAGTGTAGGTCCCCACTTTAGCAGAAATGAAAACTAAAGCTAAAGCACAGATTTACAGAAAAAAGCTTTAATGGGGAGGTTAGAGGGAAGACAAGAAAGGAGTCCAGCTTGGGTATCTGGGGGCATGCTTGATACAGGGGTGCAGATGGGCCCACCCTCAGAGGCAGAGCCCAGCTTTCCAGTGTTGTGGGGGGCTGGGACGGCTCGTCCCCATCTCAGTCTCAGTGCCCTGGTCTGGGGTCCTCCTGGTGAGGGACAGTTTTATCTCCAGGGAAGGATTATCTCTACCTGTGGGGGTCTCAGTCCTCGGGGCTCCACCTTTCCAGAATCCAGGAGGCTAGAGGCCTCTGGGGTGGCCGATGTCCCCATGAGCCTCAGATCTTGGCGTCCTCAGTCTCCAGGGGGGTGGACCCTGTGTACTCAGGGCTCAGCAGCCCAGTCTACAGCTCCTATACAGACACCTAGGGGAGAGCCGGGGCGCGATCCCACCCAGGACTTACAGAGATAAGGTTGCAACATGAAGGTCAAGGCTGCTGGGCATCTCCTGGCCCCAGTGAGGAGTCATGGTTCATGGCAAAAGAGACTTCCATGTCTGTGGCGGTTCCAGAAGAAAACACAAATTGTGGTTTTAGTGACCAGCAGGCAAGGGCCGGGATGCCGGTCCCCAAGCCCTGAGGTAGCTGGAGCCGTCATTCTTTAGGCTCAGCAGGACAGACCTGCCAGGGCTCCGACCTCGCAGTGCGGCCCTTGCCCGAGGCCCGCCCCTCCTCCTCCGGAGAAAGCATCTGTCTGTCTGTCTGTTGGTGGCTGGTCGCTCTCAGCACCGTGGACAGCACATAGCAGCGAGCTCTGGATTGCCCTGGGTGGAAGAACGGAAAACACATTAAACGGTGAATAAACATACAGGAAAGCTGAGCTTTATGAATAATGCATGGAATGGGAGCAGTTTTCTAATTTTAAATGTGTAACTTTTTTTCCCAGCGTTAATTTCCATTTCGCAAGAGGTTGGCGGGATGGTTTGGTTTCCCCACTGAGAATCTTGAAGGGTGGGCAGGGGGGTGCCTGGGGCTCAGGAGCCCCGCGGTGACCTTGATCCCATTTGCTTCGGGTTCTCCTAGGTTCCAAACTGCTGCTGCTGACACGGCAGTCACCAGCCTGGGCTTTGTAGAAGAGGTGCAGGGCCTGGCTGAGGACATTTATGAGATGATGAACAAGGCGAAGCACTTGCAGAAACTCTGGGGAGAAAGAGGCCAGACACCAGGCAAGTGACTCGCTCATACAGTACTGGGGTGCCACCCACGTGGGCGCAGGTAAAGTATGAAAATCCTGGTGCACCCCTTGGTGGCTGAGGCTGGCCCTGTGGCCTGTGGGGATGGGGCTGGGGCCTTCCTTTCCCTTCCCTGGAGGCTGCCTTGTATAGTTAGGAGGCTGAGACAGGCAGATCCAAGTTCAAGTCCTGCCCAGGGGACTTAGCAAGACTATTAAAAGAAAAAAACACGGAAAGGGCTGGAGATGTGGCTCAGTGTCAGAGCACCTCTGAGTCTGGTTCTGATACCGGGTGGTTTGGGGGCACAGGTCACCCAGCCTGCAGAGGGCTGTCTCCTTCCAGCCCAGCCTGTGGCATGCTTTCTCTAGACTCCTTTCTCCGCGTTCTTCTGTTGCCTATTTCTCTGTGCACTTCTTTCCCCATCTCTGAGATCTGTGTTCACAGCTCTAGGCCCTTCCTCCTCCTGGGGGCTTGGGCTGGGCTTTTCCACTTCACCAACATGAATTCTGCCCTGGACAGTGAACTTCCTGCGGCTGTAAACTTGGGATTATTAGGCTGGATCCTTCTGTACACAAAAGTGGTTTCTGCTCATTATGGAAACATCGGCATGTAAGAGGCTCCGACTTGGACTCTGAAGCTGTACTAAGAAGTCAGCCGGGCACAGACGCAGCACACAGCACCCCCAGATGCAGGTGGCA